CCCCCCCCCCCCCCCCCCCCCCCCCCCCCCCCCCCCCAACACAGACACACACAAAGAAATTTAAGAAATGCAGGTCCACTTACGACAAAGCAAAGAACATGACATTACTGCATAAGCAAAAGCCAATGCCAGAGAAAGCGACGGAGGTCCACGTTAGTCCAGTAACTTTTCTTCACATACTCAATGAATTTATAACTCCTGATGGTAATGACGACTTGTGAATCATTGCATCTATGGGTGATTAGGGCTCCCTACCCCCCCCTAAAAAAAAATCAATGCACTAATGGAGAATGACTCGAGGCGTAAAGTCCCATTGAGGAGATGGAAACTGAATCTGGGTCAGGGCATTCATCACCCGTAATTCGTCAATCGCCGATCCGACAAGAAATAGGTCGTAAGATAATATCGCGATGAACACGTCTTTCTACTTACAGTCAAGAGTCCCAGATAAGATAATAATGCTTAAAGCATTTCAGCAAAATGCAGTTACAGGACACCACCTCCGTTTCACCTAGTATTAAACTCAAGTTGTTTTGTGTCCTCTCCCCCAATTTCTTTGGGTCATGCCTACTATACAGCTGGGGAACTGGCACTTCGCCTCTTCCTTTCACGACATCACGTTCGTGATGTGGTCAGAAAAGAATTTTCCCGCTGATGAATCGGTATCATTACAGGCTTCGATTTGGACCATCTTCACAAGATCCAAACACTAGCGAACTTGATAGTACGGTGAATTCTAAGAAGCATTATTCATGAGCTCCCTTCAAATCAATGCATTTGCTGGATGGAATTACTTTCGGAATTCGCGTCAGAGCCTCGATCGTGCTCTTCCGCGAGCGCCGCGCTGCGCAAAACCACAGGCCGAACGAGGGAAAAAAAATGCCATAACATCAAATGATCCTTGAAATGGGCTGCGTCAGGATCGTCATACTTTCCGGCAGGACTTCGTCATCCTTAAAAGTTCACCTCACTCGAAATTTCATTTAAACAAAAAAACTGCGAAAAACCAAAGCGCCTGCGACAACATACATCAATTCGTTTTCAACTCCTTCACCACGTTCGTGGATTGCGTCTCGGATGACGATCGAGGTCGATTTCCTCCATAATGGGGGAAAGAGGACTGCTTAAAAGTCCGGTTCAGGTTAACGCCGACACGGCCATAGCGAGTGACCGTCACTCCGCCCCATTCCGCATCTGAAATGCCCACAGACACGAGAGACATCTATGGCTCACACGCGAGACGAGACGCAAGATGCTCGACCCGAGCACGGAGGCGGCCAAACAAACGAAGGATTAAGGACAGAGAGGGAGTCCCCATCGACTCCATAGAAAGCTTACGATCCCTCCTTCCGTAATCCTTTACCAGCGCTTGGATGTCCGGGCAATGTGTCTCCACGGGAGGAAACGCCGCCGCCGGAAACGCGAAACGTCGTCCACGGGAACAATGGAATCGAAGAGCAGACATATTTCAGATGGAAGAGGTCCTCGCTTCCTTCCTTTTTTTTCCACCTTGGGGGGGGGGGGGGGGGAATGCCCCCGGGTGTGGAGACACATTGCCCGGACATCCAAGCGCTGGTAAAGGATTACGGAAGGAGGGATCGTAAGCTTTCTATGGAGTCGATGGGGACTCCCTCTCTGTCCTTAATCCTTCGTTTGTTTGGCCGCCTCCCAGATGACATCATTACCAAAGCCCACTTCCTTCCGGATTTCTCCTCCCTTTTTTGACGGCACATTGGCAGCCGGCACGAGACCACGAGATGATCATCGCCGGCACGTGCATAACTGAAAAATTCAATGAGGGATCATCATCGCCTCGGTCACGCACTTATAACGGCTACGATCCCCTTTCCATGGAGAAGGGGAAATAAATAAAATAAAAAAGTGCGGATGGTTCCATGACAGATGAGGCGATATCACTCCTCCCTCCCATCAATTCCTATACGTGACATATGCAATAAAAGGTACGCCGCTCAAGCCAGGCCCCTCTCCAGTGCGGAAAAAGCTCAACGAAAAGTCCCAACTTCCGGCATTCAAAGAGCGGGATTCCAATTCTCCCACGTAATCAGAGTACGGACGAACGAGGACAAAAAAAACTTTCCCCCCATCGTTTCCGAATATTGCAAGTCCTCCGCAAAGAATCTTCATCTAAAAATAAATCTCCACCTAAGTAATTACTTTCCACGTTCAATTTCGAAACTTCTCCAGGTCCCTCCCTTAAAAAAAAGGAACATCTCCCCATTTACCCAATCCATACATTTATCCTACCAACTTCGTCCCCAGTACTTCATGTCTCAAGGAGACTCGTGATCATTCCGAACCCAGCAAGGCGTTGAACGATGGCAAATTTTTGCGTGATACAAGCCAGATCGTTCAGCATTTTTCGCAGAGGGACAGAGGCCAACGGTGGAAGGAATGCCGTTCCTTCCACCGAAATATCGGTGGAAGGAACGGGATTCGTCTCTTAAATTTAAAGGTCCACGATATATATTGAATACGTGCGTCACTGGGACACAAGCGGTCAAAAACGAATCAATCACATACATACACTCCGTCCCCTTCCCCCCATTTTCCTCCTCAAATCCCAAGTCCACCTTGAGCAGCTCTACCGGGATCAGCCTGAACCGAGGGAAACGGCGCATATTCTCCTGGTAAAAAGAGGTCAAATCATGGCCCATCAACGAAGGAAATGGGACAGCGAGAGAGACAGGAAATCTATCTATGGTATATAATCCCAGATGAGGAGGATGATTATAATATGAATGAGAACGAGAGAGAGAGAGAGAGGACTCGTGCATATTTAATCCTCCTTTCCCTCCCCTTGTTTTAATAGACCTATCATCCCCATTGCTGGTTGGTTGGTTAGATGTCTTTATAAAGCCCTTTAGATGAACCCATACCATCATCATCATCATCTTTCTCCCTTCCTCCTCTCTAATGGATACTCCTTGATAAAAGGGAACACATTAAGGGAAGGCGTATAAGCACCGCCCAGGCAATTTCTCCTCTATTCAGCTTCCTTTTCTTCCGCCAATGATCCTTCAGATAGATCCACATCTACCCTCCCTCCCTTTTCAGAGAAAAAAAATTTTTTTCCCTGGGCTTCTTGACTTCTCTTTCGAGGGGGAAATATGAGGGGGCTCGTCGACGCCAATTTGTCTCCCGGTTTTATCATGCCTAATGTTCCGTGCATCCCTTTTACCTTTGTCCTTCCCCCAGGTACAAAGTCAACATGGGGCGACACATGCAATGAAACTCAAACGATGAAATCCCTTCTCCATTATTCAGAGTCTTTCAGAGAAGACGTAGATCTTCTTTGTCATTCTATTTCCCTTTCTAATTATTCTTAAACATTCAACTCCATTGTACTCCCTTCCTTGTTTCCCTTCCGAATTATTAATCCAATTCATGCACCATTATGTTCATCCATTTCATTTACCTCCTCATACTTTCAATTTACAGCCGATTCGAAATTTTCAATAATTATTTTCCGCAGCGAAGACATACCTCCTCCTGCTTGCCCTTTTTAGGTTTGGGTGCCTCAGGAGCACCCTGCGGTGCACTCTTCTGGGTGATCTTCGGGGTGGGCACCTCATCCGCATCGGATCGTCGCATCCGCTCCAACTGGATCTCCCTGGCGATCAGCTGCCGAGTGGCATAGGGTAATCCCTGCCCGGGTACACCCGAGGACACCCCGGGGAACCGACCGACCTCCTCGATGTTCCTGGAGAAATATAATATAAGCGCACGTTCGCTCAAAATGCAACTTCTCATTGACGATGGCAAAAACCATTTCAGATAAGATCAGATAATCCCATTACAAAAGCTAATCCACCAAGGAACACCCTGCAGGGACAGGAAGAAAGTTCATACATAATACTGGGTATATACCTGGTAGCAATGAGGAAAACACCGATTACGAGGAAGCCATTTACGCAAGCGGCACCAGAAGTCCTTCGAGGAAGAGGAGCGGAAATCGGTTGCAGAAGGGAAGAGGAGAAAACATGAAAACTTTTTTCCTAACGCTGCCAGCTAGAGTTTCCAAGACTTCATTATCCCTTCACCAAGGCTACGCGAGGCCCTTTTATTTTTTAATGGAAGTAAACTGGAGACTGGCCCAGGAAGCCAAGTAAGCAGTTGTGCCCGACGCCATGATTAATGCAAAGGTGTCAATGCAAAACGTTGGCTCAATATGTATACACATTTTTGCTTGATTTCCTCGGGCATGCAGAGTCTTGTCATTTCAAAGGGACTGGAGCCTCCTGTCCAAGATCAGTTTCTTTTTCTTTGTGAATAATTCTTCAGAGCCTTACCATGGTGGAAAAAATTAGGATGAAACATAGAAAGTCTATTGAAAACTTATCAACCATCAACATCACAAGCATCATAAGGAGAGTTTCGTGGAAATCTCATATGTAGGAACAGAGATACATTGCTTGAAATCCCTGCATATTTTTTTGCATATCCTGCACAAGCCACGGAACAGAATTAACTTTTTTTTGCCTATAAATACAGCAACTACGAAATATTTTAGGATCATGCCCCATTCTAGTTAATGAGCGAATGCAGAAGACCATAGTGAGGTGCACTTCAAGATTCCCCATGAGATTTACGGATCCCAAGCAGGGATTAATTTTCTCATAAGGAATCAACACAAAGGGATGCAATTAGGGGTATGGTCCAAGCGGAGAGAGACGTTTCGTCGTTTCAGGTGCATCTATCATGCAGGACTCACGGGATGCAGGGAGGGAGACAGCCTGGAGGTGTCGCTAGGACATCCACCCAAGCGTCCCCTCCTCCCCTATCAAGTGAAAGATGGGAGATCATCCTCCCTTGTTATTCTCCCTTGTCCCATTAGTTTCATTTGAGTTGAATACAGCAGGATCGACAAAACGCAAGCAAGCAGCACCTTGTCTCGATGACGCTGAAATTCAGCAGAGGGCTTTTCTTCGTATATCACATGTGACAAGTTGCTCAAAATCGTACGTAAAGTGTCAGTCAGTTTCCACATTTCCACGGGGAAATCGTTCAAAAATCACGAGAAAACAGGCGAAAATAGACAATAAGCGACAAAACATTTCTCATTGTAGGTTTGCATTTTCACGTCCCCCTCCACCTCGAGAACCGCTCCACTCCACAGAGTCAAACACAGGTCGTTTCCGAAATAAGTCTACGAGAAATATGGACACGGAACCGACACATCTCCCAAATCGGTTGTAAGAGACCGATTAAATCTATCCTGAGCACAATGAATCTCGGCACCATATCAAGACCTTGACCTTTTTAGAACATTATTTTGAATTTTAAACAAGTCGGCGAGGTCAAAAGCGTGTCGCTTTCAAGAAACAAGTTACATTGCTTTAGACGGCTCATTTTACTTTCAAAATGGCCACTAATTATGCAAAGTAATTCAGTCACAAAATGGCCGTCAAGGAAGAGTAGTAGTAGACAGGGTCAGAGGAGTAAAAGGAAATGGGGACGAAGGAGTCGATGGTCGATAAATAATCGACCAGTGATTGCTAGGTCTTCCTTCTACATTCTCTAAGTACCTAAGGCCCTCCATGGAACTAACAGGATGAGGTAATCTACATTATAGATGATTGACACAATGGAATAAGTCCAAGATTATCAGGATCACCAGCGCAAATACACATCTTTTTCATTGGACATCGTGTTAACTTAAGCACGCTAATACATGTTTCACTAACGAGAAACGAACGAAACAGAAAGACGTAGGTAAATCGCAAGGATCCCCCTCCTCAAATGACGGAGATCTAATAATCACTAGAATGCCCACTTAACACACCCCTCTCCCACAATGCTGTCATCTCCAAGCAGACAAGAGAAATGCTTCAATTACCTGTCATTAGGGCGTTGCGGTAGCGATCAATTTCTCGATAGTTATACCGTAGCCCAATACCGTATACCGGCGATATCGACAAGGGAGTTGCTTCAGTCAATAATTCGCAGGAAAAACAAAACAAGAAGAGAGTCTCTTTCTGTTGTGATGGCTTGCAGCTAGTCGCGCATCCATATTATGCCATTCGATTGAAAGCAAGGGGATTCGTTCAACACAGATTGATGGATTCAGTAGGCGTGCCCAATAATACCGCGATTAAAATTGCAGGGAGGACTCAAATTGTGGATCTCGGAAGAACGGAAGCACCATGGAAGAGATTCCATTTTATCATTGTGAATGAATGCACGTTTCATATTGGTATTGAGTGCTCAGGCTCACTGAGCAGGGGGGCACAGTCAAGACGAAAGTGTACCCACAAATGACTGATCTTGATCCCGATGGGCGGATGAAATACACTCCGGTGACTTCCAGGAAGGCTTCGGTTTTCCCCAGGAGGTTGGCATCATCGTAGATGAAGATGGGAATATTGTTGACCAAGTGTTGCATTTTTACAAATGGCTCTTGGTATGGCGCCATGGTGACAGTATGATGAGAGGCAGTGTCCAACTGTTTCCATACCGTGGCGATAATACCGAAACATGTAGAAGAGGGGTCGGTATGATCTTTACCATAAATATATTCTGCCTAATTTTTGGCCGCTGCCCAAGAGCCCCTCGGGTTCACGACGACACAAAGAAAGCGGGAAGGAAACCACTCCGGTCAGGAAGCATGTCGGGCCAAGAGAGTAACGTTTCATTCTCTTCATCGGACCATGCATTCACGTCTCCCTGGGTATTAAATCGGTTGCCCAATGGATTCCTCACCGGGAAACTGTCGGGTCTCTGTCACATTGAGCAGTCACACATCCAATGAAAGTTAACACGGTACTTTCCGGTATAATAATACCACGGATTCTTTTCGAGGGAATTACATAGACAGCATAGTTCTCTTCATATGCGTTCCAACCACTACCAGAGAAATGAAATACACCTGGAATTGACCATCGTTTTAATGTAAACGTGGAAATTCAGAATGATACTCGTAAAAAAAAGTATAACTTAGGGCAGTGCCTACGATTTCAACTATAGCGATGAGATACAGTTCACGTTGTCCTCTGGGGACAGATGAAGGCCATGGACGGAAAGTAGAGTTCTCTATCCTCTTTGTTTTCTCGAACAAAATAGGCCCGGAGAAACAAAGGATCTCCCCAATCGAAACAGATATCCACGTTCTCGTTCAACGTCCCGGACCGGATCTCTTTCAAATACTGTCGCTTCTTCCCAGTTTTCATGCAACAGGTGAGGAGGAGGTAGATCTGAATTGCCAGGAAGGACAACACACCAAGGGGGGTGATCACGAGCAGGGCGAATACATAAAGGAGGCTCCGAAGAGTGAACTGAAGAGAATCCTGATAGCAGTGCTTCGAGGGGTCGTTCCAACACAGGAGGATCAATGTGAAAGAGGCAAAACCAGCAGTGAACCCAAGGTGCCACAACACCTTGCGGGTTAAGTACAATGTGTAAGACTCAGGAAAAGTCGAGGGGACAATGAAATCGTAGCAGATGCAATTGATTTTGTAGAAGAAAACACACAACTGCCACATGATCAGGCCCGAGGCGAGGTGTCGAATGTACACGTATTTGCGAATGTCGATCCCACTCGATTCTCTCAAGTTGACACCTGTGTCAGTTTCATCCGTTCCGGCATCCACCATATCTCGAGTGTTCTTGGCAGAAAACTTAATTTTCATCCAACTTGCCAATAGCACTGGTCCACAAAACACTGTCAAAAGGACTTTAGAAGACCGTTTGACCCATTTTCGTTTCCGGAGCTTTCGGACGGGTCCATCGACCTCAACGCTATCAACAGAGTCGACCACGGCTTTCTCAAATTCCCCCGATATTCTAACGAGTTCTTCGAGTTCAGCACCGCGTGAAAATGATTTCTCCTCGCCTTCCTTCTGCTTCCTGCATTTTCGGACAGCAGACCTCCAAAGGAACATAAAGAACAGGACCAAGGGAAGAAAGAAGGCACCGATCAACAACAAGGTAATGTTGAACACTGTCGTGGAGCATTTTCCAGCCAGAGCATATCCTTCATTTGCGTTGAACATGGTTGTCAGAGACAGGGCATTCAGCAATCCCAACAGGTTCGTCACCAGTAGAGTGCTCCCAAGAAAGCCGATGAATCGTTCCAGCAACCACGTCCAGAGTTCCGTTGCAGTGTCGCATGACTCTTCGTGTCTGTGGAGGATGTAATTGATGAAGAAACAGGGTTGTACCGTGGCCACAGCCTCGACGAACTCGTCAACGACGAGGCTCAGCCCGATGGCCACGATGAGCAAGGACTTGCACACGTCGGGAAACAACCGAAACTCCATAACTGATAATTCTGGGATTGAGAACGGCCGTCACACGTTGCTTCGCGATAAGCAAGACAAACGAGATAAGACAAGGAACATATTAATCTGTTGGCTTTTCTCGCCAAATTCGCACCATTCCAGGCAACGGGAAGTGACAAAAACCATTACGATCATCCGAGGAGGCACAGCAAATCTGCGTTCTCTCAGTGAAAATCGAAATTCCTATCGATTGCAAAAGGATATCAGAGGTATGGATATTTCAGGCACCTCATCTAAGTTTCGAGATATATAGCTTCTATTACTAAGAAATTGACATAATTCGAATGTCTTTTTACTTTGGGATTATACGGAGTGCCATACCATTTACTCTACCTGTGTCCTACATGCAATGCCAGAAAAAAAGATACAAGATCATTGAGAATTACTTTAAATGAAAAGCATGAACCCAGGAAAATACAGAACATTTTTTATGGCAAGGCATGCATATTATATTGAAGCGATGATAAACTCGATCTCACGTCTTCGTCCTCAGATTCGGCGCAGATCAAGGTCATGGACGGAAAGTATACTTCCAATCTATCAACGATTTCCTTCTCTTTGTTTATTCTGACGAGAAAGGCTCGGAGAAACAATGGATCCTTGAAATCAAAGCGGATCTCCACGTTCTCGTCCAACCTCCCGGACCGGATCTCTTTCAAATACTGTCGCTTCTTCCCAGTTTTCATGCAACGGGTGAGGAAGAGGTAGATCTGAATTACCAGGAAGGACAACACACCAAGGGGGGTGATCACGAGCAGGGCGAACACATAAAGGAGGCTTCGAAGAGAGAACTGAAGGGAGTCCTGATAGCAATGCTTCGAGGGGTCGTTCCAACACAAGAGGATCAAAGTGA